TAACATAAATATAGCGGTAGTTTATCGGACTCAAACAACTAATGTTTTGTGTTTTATACATTAAAAATTGTACATTGTTATTATAGAACTTGAATTATTTATCTACGCTTCACGTAATAACAATGACACGAAGTGAGGGAGGAAAAAGAGAAAGGCAATGATTGAGAGTTAAAAAAAAAAACAGAAACTAATAAATTTAGCAGATTTATGCAGCATGAAATTTGTAGATGATGGTGAAAGTGAAAAAATACCACAATAAAAGAGATATTAGGTTAGGTACATAACTTATTTTCCATCAAGTAGCTACTTACCCCAATAATTTCAAAAATTAATTGTGACTTTAAAAGGATTTTTTTAAATCCGATTTTAAAAAAACATCAATGAACGAGAAATTGAGTAATTAAGGAGTGAACCTAGGTGTTTAGGAGTAAATCATAAATATGATCACTCACACTAAAAAGTTTTGAGAATAAAAATTATTTCTTTAAACTTTTTTTTCACTAAAAAGAGTTCAAGATTCCTGCAGAATGGCACCCTCATGATGTAGCACTTTTGCCTAGATGAGACTTAATTGTGATAATATTTTTCTTTTTCCTTATCTTTGAACAACCATACAATCGTTGTCGTGCCAAGGATTCGATTATAAAAATAAAACAGTTTTAGTAATAAAAGCTTGCAACTTGTAGTAATACATGTTTTGAGTTATAAAAAATAAAAGTAACTTATTTAAAGAAAAATTGGTTTACTTGAGTTTATTCACTTTTGCAGCTTTTTATAAGTATAAATTAATTATTTACAAAGTAAAGTTATTTTATAATTAACTTTACGAACAATTAGACCGTTTGTAATTGCAAAAAGTTGATAAGCTACACAATACTAAGTGTTCTTGTTGAATTTCTGTATTTTACTGGTAACGTCCGACTAACCGAAATGCTTGCTGACTGATTGTGATCGAATATTATAGAAGAATAATATAGAAGCCCTTTAATTTTTTTAGGAACAGTTTTTCATCTACAAATATAAATCGATTTATAAATTCTTCAAATTCTAGAGCAACAGTATTCAATATACAGTGAAGTAAATTTTTTATTAATCTGTAAAATGCATGAGTCATGAGTAAAATAAAAATTAATTATCGGCCTCGAATGACTTGGCACCGCATAAAAGTTCAGGAGCCACTTATGGCCAAAAAATAAAGACCACTAGATGGCGCTGATCCAAATAATTATCACTATTTATAGTAGAGCAATTTTAGTTATTATAAACCAGCCGCAAATTATTTTTTAGATACAAAATAAAAAGATAACATTGTTTGTGCTATTTGCGGCAAGTTTGCAATCAACTGTTTACTAGAAAATTGACGTCCAAAAGTATAAATATTCTACTTATATGGTTTAATAAAATCGACCATATGGCACTACTTGGTAGTGATAGTAATTACTATATTACTACACATCACTTCGCGTATGTCTTACACCGTGCTCTTCAGAAGAGCAGCCTCTTCTCTTTGACTCTTTATTCTTCATTTACCTCACAAAACAATAGATTTGTTCACCTTACATCTTACAATCCAGGGACGGTTGGTGACAGTGACTGACGTGACTGTCTAATGTTTTGTGGGTACCCCTCAAACTTTTAATTTAATATTTAAAAGCAGAAACACGAGATGGCGCTGATCGTAAACTAAACGCCTGCCCTGCCTATGTCAAATCCATGCCGGAGTCTGGAATCCGTTTGTCTACATTTATTTTATTTTATTAACATATTTTCAAAACACGTAATAAAATCAATTAAAATTTGTTAAAATGACAAGTTTATTGGATAAAAAAAAATTTGAATGTCGGTAAGAGTTGTGTNCATCTATAGTGGCAAAGTTGAAAATCTTGAATCGAATACTCTTGAGTTATTAGCTGCTGCAAATAGCTTTGATTTAAAATGACTGAAACTTATGTGTGAAAACAATTTCCTCCATGGATTAAATATTTCCAATGCTTCAAGCCTTTTGTTGACAGCAGATGATCACGATGCCAGCACATTGAAAATAAAGGTCATGGAGTTTATTGCTTTGAATGTAGCACAAGTGACAGAAACAGCAGGATATGAAAAGCTAAAAGCTACAAGACCAGATTTGATTGTTTAAATCTTCAGCTCAATGGTAGATATAACATAAAAGTTGAACATTTAAAAACATTTTTAATTTTTTCAACATTTTTGTGATAATTTATTGCAGAAAAAATTCATCAAGAAACTGGAGCATTGTTCACATTAGATATTAAAAGAAAAAAAGAGGTTGACATCATTTTTTTATTTTATTAGCCATATACTTTTGCATGTAAATCATTGGCACAGTATATTTATTGAGTTACATGAATAAACGATGTTTTTATCCCATTATTCGTCAATCTTATAGATTATTGTATACTTTAATAATAATTAGTATGAACTTCCTTGTCACTTATTAGTATTTTGAATAAAGGTATCAATTTTCCAATTGATGCTACAAAATTTACAATATAAAAAACATTTTAATGAAACAAAGCCAGCACAATTCAATAATTAATTCTCTATAGGAATTAATGATGGACAAGAAGACAAATAGTTCCAGCAAATGTTGTCGGTTGTCTCAATTACTGGATTGTTGCTCTCAAACACAAAAAGCGTACTCATTTATTGATGGTCAAAACGTTTGATGAAGTTGGATAGTCTGCTCCTTTTTGTTGATGGCATTAATTAACTTTGTTAGCTTTTTAAGTTAACATTGTTGAAAAGTAACCTGAAACGTCGCTTAATGTACCTGCAGAGGATGCATGTTTTCTCTTTAATTTTTTCGAGTAAAAGACATATTGTAAACGAGCCGCAAATAACCCAATTATGGTTAACATTTTATTTTACAACCACACAATCAGTTGCGGCTGGTTTATAATAATTTAAATGGCTCTACTATAGATAGTAATAATTATTTGGATCAGCGCCATCTAGCGTTCTTAATTTTTTGGCCAAAAGTGGCTCCTAAACTTTTGAACTCGAGCTTTAGCGATTAGAGCCATTTAGTCAATCATAAACCAGCCGCAACTCATGATGAAGCTATAAAATAAAAAAATAACGATATATGTGTTTTTGGCGGCAAATTAACAATTTATCTTATGCTCGAAAATTTATCTTCAAAAGTATAAACACATAGGAGGTCAATTTTTTGGTAAAAAATAGATTGTTAACTTGCCGCCAAAAACACATGTATCGTTATTTTTTTATTTTATAGCTTCATTTTCTTTAAATAAGTTACTTTTATTTTTTATAACTCAAAACATGTATTGCTACAATGTTCAGTAAATTAATATCAAGATTGGGGAAAAAAAACTTGAAGCTTTCATTCCCAAAACTATTTTATTTGTACAATCGTACACTTGGAACAATAGTTATACATTTTAACGAGATATCAGTTGTGAATAATGGTTTTAAACGTTGGTCGTTTAGTTACTCGTACACAGGGATGGTCTATACTATGTGTTTCCTATCATTTTTAATCATAATACAATATTTTACCTTACGAGGTATGGTGAAATACCTTTTCTGAAGTAAAGATACATTATTTTTTAAAGCTTATTCGGTTATGGTTACGAGTGATACAATTATTTTCGTAGCAGTCGATATTCTTTTAGTTACAGCTCTTGTTAAGCAAAAAACAACTGTTACTACTTATGCAAAACTTATTTCAGTCATAGAATTATTAGGATTAAAAAAGAAGATGAATACTGATAAATGGACGTTACGAGGCATAACATATGTTTTTTTGTACTTTTCAAGCATATTTTATACCTTGTATTACTGATTTATTATTCGTATAATAAAATTTTATGGGAACATACATATTTTTCAAGAGAACTTATTCATCGTGTAATAATAGATGTGGTAGTGTTACAACATATATTTTTTACCACCTTAATTAGAGGTTTACTCAAAATAATTTGTCATGATTTGAAAAACATTTTTGACAAGTCTACTAACACGGCAAATACTGACTTATTAATTTCTATCAACGAAAAAGAAAAATTGCTGACACTACTAAAATTGCAAACAATGTATACGTCATTATCCAAAGTATCGAAAGAGCTATCGAATTTTTATTCTTTGTTAATATTTCTTTGCATCGCTGTGTATTTTTTGACTCTTTTGCGTTGCTCTTATAGCGCTATAGTTTTAATGTACGATGGTCATCTATCAATAGCATTTATGTCTGATCCAATAATATTTTCCGACATCTTAATTATGACCTATTTATTAACAACGTCTGCTGGTTCAGCTATCGAACAGGTGATATACAATTATTAATGTAAGACTTTTATCATAGTGACACCCATCATATACAATAATTATAAATTACGCAGAACCGAAGAATCAACCAAACGTTGATCAATTGTTTGATGTACAATGATGGAGTGAAAGACAGAAGTGTAGCGTATCAGGTAAAAATTTAAAATCAAACCTGATAATTAGAAGTAATTCAAAAATCAAAACGTTTGTTTTTAGCTGTTACTATTTTCTTATCGATGCCAAACTACAGATATCAGATTTAAAGTTGTGGATACTTTTCAAATAAATGAATCATTACTCGTAGCGGTACGTGATTTTTTAAATGAAATAAAATAAGATAGTTCCAAGTAATGGAAACATGCGAGGAAAGTGTTTATTGTGTTATTGTTTTCAGATGGTAGGTACGACAATATCATACATAGTTATAATACATACATTTCTGGAGTAGTATCGTATCAAAATCATCATCAGAGAATTGCTAACTACAAAATTCTAAAATGTGACTCTTGGATGTAATCTTTCATTTATCATACTTTGAAAACCTCAATATCCCTCTTATAATGTACAAGAAAAATTTTTACGTAAATAAATTTATGACTATTAAATAATGAATATGAATTGGTATTATACATATCCTCATCATTGCCTACATTTTTGTACTTCGTTAAGAAATATAAATTAGTTAGAACATGACAAATAGCTTTACTCTATTGTATGTTCTATTTCTCCCTTTTTGCATATGTATTTTAAAATTATCCAACTAAAGCTTCATTAATATCTTGGTATTTTATTAACTAACGAAATATTATTTAACTGCAAAATTAGGTAATCCTACGTATGATCGTTAACTTGAAAGAAGTCAAACAATTTCAAAATTTTTTTTTTTTAAACACAATGGCATTTGTTATTGAGCTGTTTAGAAAATCGCAGTTAACATAATATATATAGTCAGGCTTTGTGGCTTAGCACTTAAGAATTCGAGTTCAATGCATACAGTTATATATAAAAAATGTAACTGTTAATAGATAGCCGAAGTAGTATATACCAAATAAACGTGGATTATTTGCTAACATTGCACGTGTATAAAAATAAAGTAGTTACTTTGACATACTAATAAAGTATCATTTCAAAGATACTTATTTTTACATTTACTCCATTTATTGGAAAAGTTGTTGTTAAGTATCTGTAATTGTTGGTTGAAAAGGTATTTGGTACGTTTTTAATTTTTAATTTTTTTTTGTACATCGATATTACACAATAGTCCATCAATAGTACGAAATATTAGAAATAACTTTATTTTTATTGTTCTACTTAAAATGCTTAAATAACAATCTGCTGCAAAGCGCAGCAATATTTTTCATAATTTAGTATAGAAGTTCAGGGGGTGAGAATGGAGTGATTACAAGACTAATAGGTGCTTTTGTGACTATCACTATACGTTTTACCTGTGAAACCTAAATTGACGTTGCTGTATCTTGTGTGCTGTCACTGGAGCATCCATATATTTCACGAATCGATGTGCACTTATCTAATGAAAAAGTATGATGTACCAAAATAGTACTATAGTAGTGCCATATGGTCGATTTTATTAAACCATTTAAGTAGAATATTTATACTTTTGGACGTCAATTTTCTAGTAAACAGTTGATTGCAAACTTGCCGCAAATAGCACAAACAATGTTATCTTTTTATTTTGTATCTATAAAATAATTTGCGGCTGGTTTATAATAACTAAAATTGCTCTACTATAAATAGTGATAATTATTTGGATCAGCGCCATCTAGTGGTCTTTATTTTTTGGCTATAAGTGGCTCCTAAACTTTTGAACTCGAGCTCTAGCAATTAGAGCCATTTAATCAATTATAAACCAGCCGCAACTAATCATATGGTTATAAAATAAAAAAATAAAAATACGTGTGTTTTTGGCGGCAAGTTAACAATCTATTTTTTACCAAAAAATTGACCTCCTATGTGTTTATACTTTTGAAGATAAATTTTCGAGCAAAAAATAGATTGATAACTTGCCGCCAAAAACACATGTACTGTTATTTTTTTATTTTATAGCT